CACAGGAGCTGCTGAAACAGTTCTACTCCGCCATCATTGAATCTGTCCTCTGCACTTCAATAACTGTCTGGTTCAGCTCAGTTACCAAATCTGACCTCAGAAGACTTCAGAGGGTAGTCCGGACTGCTGAGCGAATCATTGGTACAACCCTCCCTTCTCTCCAAGAACTGTGCTTATCCAGAGTGAGCAAAAGGGCTGGCAGAATCACTCTGGACCCCTCACTTCCAGCACACTCCATCTTTGAACTGTTGCCATCTGGTCAACGCTACAGATCACTGAGCACCAGAACGACCAGACACAGGAACAGTTTCTTCCCTCAGGCAATCCATCTCATGAACACTTGACAATAACTGTGGAACACACACTATTTATTCACTCATACACTTATTTATCTAACACTCATACTCAGTCTACACCTCAAATTTGCACATAATATACAGTACCTGTACATACAAAAACTGTCTATTGTAATATACCTGCACATACAATTGTCAATTTATATATTTTTATTCCTTATTTACTTGTTCTATTTTTTTTATTTTTTATTATCTGTGTTTTTTGTCCTGTCACTGTCATTCTGTTACACTGTGGAAGGTTCTGTCACGAAAACAAATTCCTCGTATGTGTAAACATACCTGGCAATAAAGCTCATTCTGATTCTGATTCTGATTCTGATTCTAAGTTGGCAACACTGCCAACTGGTTTTGATCAGAGTAATCAATGCGAGAGACTCGAGAATGGAGTGGAAGCGCCCAGGTGGAGCAGAGAGGCGATACTACTGACCTGTTCAGGACTTCAAGTGCAGGTCAGTTTCATCTGTAAATAGGCTATTATTGTAGTTTTATCTTTGCTTACTCAGTTAAGTATTAAACTGCTAGCACATGTTAGCAGTAGCAGCCCATAACTCATCACTCAAAACACTGTATGCTAAAGGACATCATTATTATCTATTGTAATGTTACACTTGTAATTTAGCAGACAAATATTCACATCATTTTATAATAGGTTTAGAGAGAGCTAGGGCAGACAACAACACAACCATTATAAAAATTAACAATGGTTAATTTTCATAAGGGAATAATATGAGTATGACTCATTATAATGCAATAACATGTTCAGTATTAGGATTTGACTATAAAGATATTGTAATGATGTAATTGTTATTGTAATAATTCTGACATTAGGTAATTTAGAAAATATCAGAAGAAACTAAGAGACTGAAAAGGAAAATGGAAGTGAAGGTGCAGTTGAGGAGATAACTTTTAATTATTTTGCATGTCCCCAGCCTAAGGATTTAAAATATTTTTATGTGATGGCCATCCAAAAAAATAATAATAATTTGTTTCAGAATTTGTTGTGGGTGTATGGGATGGCCTGGTGATTGTAAGATTTCCAGGTCTGAAATTTTGTCCCAGTCCGCCCCTGCTGTGTACTTACAGTGTACTTACCTAAGAAATAGTGGGTATTATTATAAGGTAACTGCATGGTTAAGGTTAGGTTTAGAGGTAGGTTCAGGTTTAATACCTAGTTATTACCCAGTTATCGTAATTGCTATAGTAAGTACATAGTATGTACACGCGGAACAGGACTGTAAAATAAAGTGCTACCATAAGTTCTTTCTCTCTTGTTCTTCATCTTTTACGCAACAGGTTGCCATCAAATTTAGTTTTAAATGGCCAGTACCAAATAAAATTACATGGTAAGTTTGAAAATCGCAATGATTGTACATTTAGTTTGAAGCACAATAGAACTTTTCTGTTTTATCAACAATAATATAGGTTACGTCTAAATGATATGTGATGTGGAAATAATGAGTCAATAGATACAGAGATATCCAACTAACCTATAAATACTTTTCTCTAGCTTGGCTATCCTAGCCATCCGAATATGGAAGTGGTTCTATTGGTTAATATGAAAGAACCTCCCAGAAGCTCCCTCATAGAATTCTATGAGTGGTTTGCTGAGTCAGATAAAACAGTCCTGATTGTGTCAGTTCTGGACCCCTGTGTAACATGGTCTGATTTGGGAGTGTATCTGTGTTCCCAGGGTTAACTCTTTGTTCAATGTGTTACCATTACCCTGGGACTCTTTGTCGTGTTTATTACTTTCCATATAAATCTGGTGAATCATGAGAACTGGAGAACAAAAGAATGACTCCTTGATGTTAAAGATTTAGGTGAAACAAAGGTCGCCTGGAACAAAATCTTGCACATG